GGGGATCGGGGCCGGGCGCGGGGATCCGGGTCGGCGCGGGACCTGGGCGTCGCTGTCGCTAACCCGGAGAGGTCTCCGCGTCGCTTGTTTACCGGGCGCTGTTACTCCTCCCCCGCACACCTCCACCACCACCGCGGGATTGCGCAAAGTTGCATTGGAATTGCGGCCTTTTACGGAATCCCACGCGTGGCCTAAGAATTTACAGACTCCTGAGAACGAGTCGAGCAGACTGATTTTTAGCTCTGTAATTTTGCTCTGGTAAATGAGTCGGCTGAACACGCAAAGTTAGTGGAGAATTTTTAAAAATCACGCACTATTTACTTTTTCGAGAATGGGTGCTTTTTTTTCCTTGGCAAAGCTGCAGGGAATGAATTGCGACCTCTGTACAGACTTTGTGTAGGCCATTGTTGAGAGCTGGAGGGTCACTGCTAGGGAGCGCCCAAGACCTGACAGTTTTCTCTCCTTGGATATTATAGGTCAGTTCATTTACTTCTTTCACGTTTTTTAAATTTCAATTCTCTTTGAGTCTGAAATTGAGTTTTGTGGCAATGTGGGTAATAAACGAGTATTTCAGGCAGAGATTCGGGGCTTTCTAAAGCACTTTTTTGAATGTTTAAATATTTTAATGCTTCGGAGAAGTACTTTGGCTTCTGTTTAGAAACTGACTGTTAAGGTAGCAGGTGGGAAAGCACGTTTCCAGTAAGATCAGCCAAGGCCTGGGTCTGGTTAACGCTGGCAGTGGAAGTAGGAATCCCCGTGTCTTCAGTGGTGGCGCTGCCTGCGCACCGGAAGGTTGTTTTTCTTCTCGTAGGTTTTATTGGGAGGAATATTTAGTCATTCTCGTTCTTTGCAGATAGGCAAAGAGTCGGGACCGCGTGTCAGGTGTTGTTCTAATTGAAGGTTTATCAGTGAACCAAACAGACAAATTCCCAGTCCACGGAGCTATGGTCGGGAGAGTCGCCGTGGGCTGCCTCTGAGAGGACCGTGGTGTTGGCCGTGGTTGATAGGATATTTGAGAAATCGGAAAGCGGTAAAGGTGACCTTCTGGTGAGCTGGTGAATGAACAGTCTGGGCAGAGGACAGGTCGGGGACCATCACCGCGGATGACTCTGGCTCCGGCCTGCCCTGTCAGAGGTGTGGAAGACTTGGGGGAGTCCTTCCAAACTTAAATATGTGGCCCTTAGGTTATGGAGTTTATTTACTATCAAATACTTGGTTGAACAGGTACTGTTCCTATTAAAAGGCTGTTTTCATTTCTTCTTTTATTTATCATTCTTTTCGTCTTCCATGAACCTCACCAAATTCACCAATTGGAGCCTGGACTCAGCATAAAAAACACCAGTGGGTTTAAGAATGGAACACACTATTTGGTGTGTTAATTACTACTGTCTTCAGTGAACATGTGGTCTGGATTTGCCATGCTGATAATTCCAACTTGATGAAAATATTCTTTCAATTTCTTGTTGCGGTTTGTGTCTAGATTTCCCCCCAGAGGCTCATGCGGATAAGGTGGGGCTTAGGTTTTCAGATTGTGCTGCTGGGTGTGTGATTACTAAACCACTACCCACAAGTGATTAGTTTGGCACCGTCCTCATCTGGGCAGTCTGGATGGGATAAAAGAGGCAGAAAACAGGTGAACGCCTCTTACTGCTTTCTGTGGTCTTATGCTGCTGTGCAGTCGCCCCTTGTTCCCTTTGCTGCCTGTGTGCGCCATGTTGCTCCTGCTCTGCAAAGCCTGTTTGTCATCCCAGCTTTGGAGTTGGCTGATTATGGACTGAAATTCCTACGAAGTGTCAGCCAAATGAACCCCTTCCCCTCCAACTTGGGGCGTTTGCTATTTTGCCTCAGCAAGGAGAGAAAAGTGACTAACACTTTTCTGTTACTGGAGAAGTCTTCCTGAAACAGTGATTGAACCTTTCCGTGTTTCGGCATGCAGGTGACCATCACGTCAGAACTGGGCCACCGCTGATGGCAGGAAGGGAGTGGAGGGACCCAGGGTTGGCTGGGAAGACACACAGGGCCTCCTGGCTCCTCCGTTCAGGAGGGTGGGAACAGTGTCATCAGCGGAGAGATGGCAGAAGTGCAGAGGTCAGAGTTTGACCTAGAAAAATAGAGCAGCAGTGAGAGCAGTAACACCGTCGGTTGAGAAAGCACCATATTATTTTTCTTTTCCTGAAGTGTATGCATTTTTGTGGTGGACTCTATTTATATAGTCTGGGGATGTAGCTTAGTGGAAAGGCCCTAGGTTCGGTCCCCAGTACTGAAAAAAAAAATCTTTAGGAAAATATTTTGGTCCAGTTTTGTGTTTTGCTGTGGATGAGGAATAATTTTGGCAGACTATTCCCATTTTTCAGTTGAGTCATGTCTTGGGTAGCAGACGTGCCAGGTATATTCTGGGTAAGCAAGGCAACATTCCTGTTTCTGTAGACACTTTCTGTTGCGCTGTTTGGTTGTGTATGCTAGGAAAAAAACAAGCACTCCGTGTGTGACGGTGTGGACAGAGGGGTGAGCTGAGTAAGTGACATTGGCAGAGAGCTTCCAGAAAATCCAAACAGCGCCCGACTGCCGGACGGAGGGCTAGGTCTTTATTAGTCTTCCCGGCTTCTCTCCGTAGGACAGCTTGTGAGCATGGGCTGGCCGGCTGGAGTGCGGCCCCTGCTCTCCACCTCAGTGGATCTCTGCATTGTTTCTCCCTCTGTTCTTCTGGAGTAGGCACCTTGTTCCGCTTGTGTTTCCTAACATCACTTGCCTCTGATCACTCCATTCGGAAGTAGCAACTTCGGGAGATAAGGAAACATCTGCATATGTTAATATATGTTAAAAGTCCTACATGTTGCAAATGGTACGGTCAGGAAAGGCCCCACTGAACAGAACACGTGAGTAACTTGGTCTGTTCCAGCTGCTCTAGCAAAGCATCTTGAACTGGTGGCTTATAAGCAAAAGGAATTTCTCCCTCGAGGTTCCAGAAGCCAGAAAGTGCAGATCCAGGTGCTGGCCAATTCCGGGTCCAGTGAGGGGCCCCATCACGGATCGCTGAATGAAGATGTGTGCTGTGTCTTTACTGTGAGAGGGTCTGGGCAGCTTTCTGGCTCCCTGGGTAGGGGCGCTGTTTCCTTTTGTGCAGGTTCCCCTCGTGAGCGTGACCCTTCACCCTTCAGCAGCCCACTTCACCCAGTCAATGGCTTGCCAGAGGCCCTGCCCTTCAGACTGTCCCCTGGAGGGGCAGCGCCCAGGCGGCAGGGGCGGCCCAGAGTGTCCAGGAGCTGGCGAGGGGGCGATGTGCCGGGGTGGGAGAGACTGGTAAGGAGAAGTCTCGGGAAGGCCAAGTTCCTGAGGGTCTCAGGCTTTGCGGACTGTGGCTTCTGTTCTGGGTGAGATGAAGCCAGTGGAGGGATTGGAGACAAAGAAAGCCTTGGTCTTGTGTGCGAGCGACCTAAAGAGCACGCAGGTTCGGTGTCGCGAGTGGGGAGATCTGCCAGGCGTGGGGTGGGGAGAAGCAGGGTGCTGAGCATCCTGAAGGCAGAGTGGACAGGAAGCGCTGTCGGCTGTGTGAGGGAACAGTGAAGATGGCGGAGATGTCTGCTGGGGCGCAGGGAAGGGCGGTGGAGGGTGGCTGGGGCGGAGTGAGAGGGACGTCTCCGCGTGAGTGAGGCCAGCGTGGTCCCTGCCGTGGGCGTGTGGGGTGGGAGGCAGAAGCGTGAGCTGTTCCCTGGGAACGCCAGGCGCAGCAGCACCTGCAGGGAAGGGGACATAAGAGTGAAGGTGGGTCACACACCCCCACGGCTAGCTCAGGGTGTGGCCACTGTGTCTTGCAAACATCGACTGATGAGCATAAATGTTACAAAAAGCCTTGACGGATCACAGTGGCCGTGGCCGCCCAGAGCATTCCCGTGTCCTGAGTGCCCGGAACGAACCCTTGGTGAACAGTGCTGGAGAACCAGGCCCCTCTGCGTCGTCTCGCCGACCCTGCAGCACGTGCGTGCCCCGCTCAGGCTGGAGGCCCCTCCTGGGCTCCGCTCCCAGCCATCCTGTCGCTGCGTTGGCTCTGCCGCCCGTCGTGCTGGCTGATGTCTCCTCTTTCCTTCACGGGGCCGCCTGTCTTCATCGCCCTGTCAGTGGGATACTGTGTGTCTCTTACCCGTCCACGGTGGGGTGGTGTTTGGAAACCCTACTGTGGTTTTATCTGAAGTGGCGGACACTTCCTTTCCAGAGTGAAGTTCGGCAGCAGCCCCGTGGTTGGGAAGGGTGGTCAGGCAGGTAAAGCGGGAGGCAGCCTGTTGCGTGTCGCCCTGAGGGGCAGTGTTGCTGAGAAGCGGAAGAGAGCACACAACTGTGGGAGCAGGAGGACGGAGCCGCCTCCAGAGGCACAGCGGCGAAGGGGCGTTGAAGTCATTCTGCCAGACACAGCGAGGCGCTGTCTGGCGGTGCAGGTGCCACGCTGCCCCATCTTTCTCCTTGGTACTGAACAAGGAGGAGAGTGAAACGCGAGCCCAGTTCCTCAGTGGCCTGACTTCATGGCTGCATCTGGTGTGGAGCTTGGGAATCACCACAAGTCCAGGATGCGCCTCTGTGTGTCTTGGACGGAGGAGGATTATGCGTAATAATTACATTTTGTGAAAGGCCGTGTGTGCATACGGGTGTACATGCACATTAGTATATACTGCACATTCTTTGCCGCCTGAGAAATAATTAGACAAAGTAAGCAGTCATGAGATAAATTAGACTCGTAGTTCTCCTCCAAATAAAGACAATCACAAATTGGGCATGGTGGTGCAAGTCCGTGATCATAGTTACTTAGGAGGCTGAGGCAAGAGGGTTGCAAATTTGATGACTACCAGGGCAACTTAGTGAGATATGCACTTGATAGCAGCACAACTCGACAGCCAGGTTTTCGCAGTAGCCTATATATCGTCAACGGATGAAGGAAAAATGAAAATGTGGTGTTTGCACACAGTGAGGTACTACTCTGTTAAAAAGCATAGACTTGATCAGCTGTAGGAAATGGATGCACCCTGAAAATACAGCGTAAAGTGGAAGAAATCAGACACACAGGCTGAACTCTTGCCTCTGTGAGAAACCGCAGTCTAAATAAATTAAGGACAAAACCAATGATGAAGCAGAGAAATAGATCTTTTGCGAATGGAAAGGGGAATAAGAGATGGCGGTGGGAGGAGAGGGGAGAGGGCGTAAAAAGAATTAGGCCGCATCCTGTATGTGTCCGGCTCCCACGAGGACGTAGTCATGTGCTGCACACGGGTACTGGCGAGAAAGAGAAAAAGGAACATGAAGACAGGCGGAGGAGGTGGCTCCGTGGATCGGTGCTCACCTCGCCACGCAGGAAGCCTGGGTTCCACCCTGGAGCAGCACAGAGCACCGCTGGGCCACCGTCCAGCTGAGCCACAGCCTTCCCCAGGCTGGTGAGGCTCATGGAGATCTGAGTACTGTGTTTCTGTCCTATCTGGAAGCTTATATTTTCATTTCTATTTCGCAGGGTCGAAGCCTTTTCCACGCTATGGGTACAAACCCTCCCCGCCGAATGGGTGTGGCTCTCCACTGTTCGGTGTCCAGGTAAATCTGGGTTTTCTGGTGAGCTTCCCTCCACAGTGCGGGACCTGGTGTGTGTTGCACAGGCTGGCGGTGCAGCCTGTTGTCATAGTGATCGGGTTTGCCACGTTGATTTTCGGCAAAGCATTTAATAACTTCTAGCAAAACGAAATGGGATAAAATTAACGTTTAAAATCTGAATGCTGCTCATGTTAATACCATTTAAATGATATTTCCTAAAGTCGCAGACACAATGTAAGTTTCAGGTACAGAAAGAATACCCCGAGGGGAGAAAAGCAGAGATAAAGCGTATTTTCTGTATAAAAAAAGGCAGAGTGGGGTCAGTAGTGTGCTTGTTGGGAGGCTGGGCTGGAGCTGGTAACTGGGGAAAGTAAGACAAGCCACTGAGAGCTAAGTCACAGATCCAACATGTGGCATCTTTAGGGGACGAGTAAACACTTGAGGCCTGGGGCCAGGGTTTAGCTCAGTGGCACCACTGCTGCCTCACAAGTGCAAGGTCCTGAGTTCGATCCCCGGTACAAAAAAAAAAAAAAAAAA